AAGAAAATTGTAATGGGGGCCAACATCAGTGTGTGCCCACCACCACCACCCCACACACATTGACATTGGGCTAAACAGAAAAGGTCTGGCTTAATAATCAGCCACGAGTGAGAAGGAAGGGGCAGGAACTTGGATAGTTTGCATAGAAACAGCAAAGAGAATGCTTGAGTGTTTGGTTTTGGCTTCACTAAGTTAAGCAGGGTGTTTGCCCTGTTTGAGGACAAGGCTGAGAACCAGTTCTCTCTTAAATGTTCAGGAAAGTCTTTGCTGAAGGAAGAGGAAAGAGTTAGGAGGCTGCTGTCACAGAGGGTTAGTTCAAGGTGCTGGGCAGGAGGCATCTGTGTGCTGAAAGGTGAAATCCAGCAGGGTGAAAGTGATGAAGGGGACGGTTAAGCACTGACTCAGCATTTCAAATTCCCCATGACAGCTGAGGACAGTCACTGAGGCCAGTGACTATCTCTGCAGAACTGTCTCCATGCAGCTCCTCTGTTTTCTGCCAAGGAACCGGAGCTGACAGTAGTTAGTGCACACAGGCAGAGAGACTCTGCCCTGCTCAGGTGGGTGAGTCTGTGACCCCACCAGCCTCCTCTTGTATATCATCTCAAACACAAGCCCTGCTTCAGGGCCAGACTCCCAAACAGAAGCATCCTGCCTGATTCCCACTCTTCACCTTCCCCCAGTAACACAAGGGAGAAGGCCTGTGGGAATACCCTTACACAGGGCCCCTCAGATGGAGCAATACTGCTGAGAAATGAGCTGCCAGTTTCAGGGAGGGGCAGTAGGAGCATTAACCCTGGGACCAGGGGAATCTTTGGAAAGTCTGTCTTGGGACAGTAAACATGTCCCAATAGCACAAAGGCCTTATGAAATGTGAGATGGGCGGCTGCAGCAGCTGCAGACACACACACACCATCCCCTCGGGCCAACAGGAGTGTTCAGGCTGTGTCCTGCTGTCACTGCAGCAGCCAGGCTTGGGGGAAGAGCTGTGGGCAAAAAGGTGTAAGAAAAAATAGCACGGAGGGAGATGGAACTGTTTTGTACCTCAGGTGAGCAGCTTGACCTCCTCTCACTGCAAGCCAGCTCTTCTGCAGCTCCTGCATTCTTTTCCATCTCTGTCAGCCAGGAATCCTTAGGCAATTGGTAGATCTCCAGCCAAGCTTTTGTGCTGTCTGCATTGGGAAACCATATTAAGCAACTGGAAATGAGGAGCGAATGTCTTTCAGGCAAGCAGCCTCTGTTATCTTTTATCCTTATAAAAAGATTTGTGTATTTTTTGAAATATAAAATCTCTGTGAAGTCCATGAAGCCCACCTCTCCTCCCACTTAAGGCTTGACATGCTTGATTGAGACTGACACCTCAGCCTCCAGATGAACTCCTCAAGGTCCCACATCCACCAAAGAAATTCCATAAAGCTACTCAGTAAGAACCTGACTTGTACCCTCTGAGCAGTAGAGTAGAAAGTGAGACATGCTCTCAATTAGTTCTCTGCTATTATGTCTCATTCTCAGCATGTGTCCAGGAAGATTCCGCCAAACATAGGTCCAGAAAACCTCCCTGCCATGGATTCAGCTGCCATGAAACAGAAGAACATTGTAATAAGGAGTTTCTTGTAGTGTTTTTAGAGGTTCTCTGTGCTCTCTGGCCTACATCTGCAGAGAAAATTCTTCAGTAATTCCTCAGGTCCACATCTTTCCAGTGTAAAAGTGAGCCACAACAAACCAGAGGAAGAACTGAGTTTGATGTTTCTGGAGAGAGGGAAACCTGCTTTCACCAAGCCTCCTGGGAGTTGGGGACTGCACTGACCAGTTCCAGACAGCTCTCTTTTGGGGTCAGTCCTGATCCTCACCAAGAGTTGTGGAAGGGACAGGGAGTGGCAGAGGACACCCCTTAAGGCGGAGGAGGAACTGGGAGGGTTAAAACACGATCCCTGGGTACCCAGACCACTTGCAGCACTCTAAAAACATTTCTGCTGCCCCTCAGTTAGAACAAAAGAGTCTCCAAACACAGCATGTTCCTGCACTTGCCTTGCAGCAGGATTCCTGCATAATCACCTCCTCGGGGCAGCACCACCTCCACACAAGTGCTTCGCTGGCTGATGTCCTCCTGCCAAGGAAAAACAGGCTGGCATCAAAGCAAGATCACTGATTCAGAGCTCCATGGCCTTACACAGTTCTCAGCAGGCTGAAGGCCAGGCAGATGGTTGGAAGAACAAAGATAAATATTGGGCAGCAGTCTTGGAGTGCTACTGCCTATGAATAAATTTCTGAGGGCAACTGGTACTCCTCATGATTGATTACTTCCCAGCCTGTGCCCGGTGTCTACGAAATTAGCTCAGTACTTACCACTTCATTCAGGATTTTAACGAGCAGGAAGCTTTCCTTGTGAAAGCAGAAGAGCCAGGCAAGCCCTGAAACAGAAATATAGAAGTAGCTGGAGGGAGAGAAAAGTGAATGAATGTTAGCCATGCTCTTGGGAGATGGCTGTTACAAGATGCAGGAGAATGAACAGGATTACATTACTTCCCGGGCCCAAGGAACAATATCCCACTGTTTCCAGCACTAAACTTTTGCTGGCTTCCTTATACCAGCATCAGTAAGCATCTGATTGCGCACAGAGATGGATAAGCCAGTCTGAAAGGTGCCTCCACCAGAACTGACAGCTTTGGGATGAACCAACAAACTAGTACAGGTGTAGGAACAGGTCACAGGCAGGAGGTCATACCAAGCAATAGTTCTTTCTGCCCAGCCCAAGCTGCTCCTAAACTTTACTGTGCTTCACCCTCAGCTCTGCACCTGCCTCTGCTGCACCAGAAAGGCCACCAAACCCACACCCTCTGCTAATCACAAGGCCCTAAGGCCTCTCTGTCACCCCACAATCTGTTAGCTATCCAACGCCCTCTCTGCAGGGATTTCTAGGAAACTTCTCAGCCACCCTAATGCTCCTACTGATCTAGCAGTGCTCTGTAGCACAGCTGCCAATTCAGCTCCAGAGCACGTTTAATCCCCAGCTAGGGCAGGGAAATCCACGTCACACTAACCCATTTCATCCACAGCAAGCAGGACATGGCACTCATTCCCCAAATCCAAGGCATGGATGGCACAGATCTCTGTCTTGGCTGCATCCCAAGCACAGACATCCTTGAAGTCACACGTGTTGAACGCAGCCAGACCCACAGACAAACCGACAAAGACGTATTTTCCAGACACTGCAAGGCAATTGGCTCTTTCATTTACCTACCAAAAAAGAGAAAATATGAGTGCACCCAACTGATTTCTCACAGCAGAGTACATCAGCCATACTAATGATATTTTCCTGGCCTTTTCACCAGAAAATGCTGATTTATTCTACAAGGGAAACATTTTGACACATTCTTTCCCCACAAGAGCAGGGAAGAGTCTCTCATCTCTGTCACAGACATTGGTCTGTGCTAGGAATGAGAAAGTTTTCTCCCACCTTTCCCCTTCCCACAAACAGAAGGGGCTTTAAAGGCCAAGAACTCAGGAACATTCAGCCCTTCCTATCCAGTGCACAGCTGTGATGGGATGCTGAACTCCTCCAGGCAATCACGGAACACCAGCAGACACCAGAATATCCTTCTGGACACCCCCACATAATAATGGGGAAGGCAGCACTGTCATTCTGCTCACGATGCTCCCATTGGAGTATTCACCATAACACATAGCTGAGCTTGCCCACTTGTGTGCTACTGACTAATTATCTTCTCCTCAAACAAGGGTGGAGCCAGCCTGGGAAGCAGAAGGTGAATTTAGTGTTTAATACCTGGTTCTCTCTTTTCAGAGAGGTGTGATAGTTGAGTGGGAAGCAGAACCTGTCAGACAAGCTTAGAAGCTGCAGGCTTTTAAGCTGAACAAGTGAGATGGTGGTGCATTCTGAGGAAGGTCATGAACAGAAGAATGACAAAATCTGCTATGGGGGTTAATGCTTTCTCTGCTGGGAGAGGTTCTGTACCTGGAATTCAGCTGTAGGAAAGCATTTTTGGGGCTGGACCTTTAGTTTTTGTGCTTCTCGGAGCATCTCCCTTCTTTCAATGATTTCCATAGCACTCTCAAAAACCTGCATCACCAGTTTGTGGATCATCCTGAAGGGCTGTGGCAGCACATCACGCTTTCGATCAGGATCCAGCAGGAAGAAATCCTCATCTTCCTTTGGCCAGTCCTTTTCAGATGGTGGAGGAATGCCCAGGGGATGCTTCCAGGTATTCACCGCCATGGTTCTCCCCTTCCAGATGCAAAATGCACCGCGGACGCAGGAATCACCCTGGATGCAGAAGAATGAGGAGTCCTTCAATACTTTTTTTCATGAGGTAAAGGGGGAAGAGATGATTAAAGATATCTAAGGGAGGTTCCTTTCAGTATTGATAGCCAGACCATCCCTGTTCTGTACGGCTCATTTCTCCTGGTATCGCCCCTGTTTCCCGGGGATTTTGTCCTGCCCTGGGGATCTCAGCCACACAGGGATCTGCAGGCTGCCCACAGGTAAAGAGAGCCCAAAAACTTTGTCACGAGCTTGTGTAAGAATTATGACAAAGCATTCAAAAATATTAGCTTGTTCTTCGTTAATGGACTTATTCGGCCGGGGCAAAATCCCAACGATTAACTTTAAGAGCAGGTGTTCCCACTGGAAGTTTTATACTTCATTTCCAAGACACCGGGTGGTTTCGAGCTTCACCTCTGCGGCGGGGCCGTGCTCACACGGGCGCACCCCACCGCCATCACCCCTCACAGCGGGCTGACCTCGGAGCGGGGCCGGGGGTCGAGGGTCGAGGGGTCGGGCCGGGCTCCTCGAGCTTTCCCAGCAGGATCCTCCGCACGTCAGCCGGCGGCTCCCGGGAGGGGGAAGCCTTTGGGGGTGACGCCGCCGCCGCTCCGTTGTAGACGGTTGCCGTGGTAACGGCACCTCGGCGCCGCAGCCCGGCCGGGAACGCGGCGCGCGGCGGAGAGTTCCGCAGCGGGGCGGGGCCCGAGCGGGGCGGAGCGGTCCGCGGCCCCCGCGCTGCTCCCGCGGTGCCGCCGAGCCATGGAGGGCTTCGTGGACTTCACCAACCGCAGCCAGGGCCGCGACCAGCTCTTCCGGTGAGTGTGGGGGCAGGCGTCCTCCCCGGGACCCCCCAGCAGCGACCAGGGCCCGTCAGCGGCCCCGCGGCCAGCCCGTCCCGCCGGGCCCCGGCACCGCGCCCAGCCCGGCCCTGGCTCCAAGGCGGCCGGCAGAGGATGGTGCCGGGCTCCCTTCCGCGGTGCCTAGCGACAGGACGAGGAGCAATGGCAATAAACTAAACCACGAGAAGTTTCACCTAAACAGGAGGAAGAACTTCTTTACATTGCGGGTGGCAGAGCGCTGGAACAGCTGCCCAGGGAGGTCCTGGAGTCTCTCTGGAGACATTCCAGACCCACCTGGACACGTTCCTGTGTCACCCGCTCCATGTGATCCTGCCTTGACAGTGGGGTTCTACTGCATGGTCCTTCCAACCCTGACAATTCTGATTCTGTGAAATAAACCTGTCCTGCTGCTGCCATCCTGTGATTGTCTGTGTCTCACCTGTGTCCCCCTCTCCTCGTTTTTTCCCTTCCAGAGCCACTCAGTACACATGCATGTTGCTTAGCTATTTAATAGAGAATAAAGACGATAAAAAGAAGCTGGTAATGAAACTCAAGCAGTTGGAATCTAGCATGAGCTCTGGCCGGAAAAGTAAGTACCCAGTGTCTAGAGGGATAAGACTTTTTAACTTGCTCCTTCCAGTAAAACAGCTCCTGGCCTTGTGTTTCCTGTCGTTAACCTACCTTGAGCCACAAAACCTCTTTTAGTATATTTACAAAACTGTCAATAGACCTTATGCTTGCCATGGCTTGCCAGGCTAGGTAGGGCCAAACAGACTTTTTTTACTTCCCCAGCGTCCTCTCCAGTTAGACGATTGGAATTATGCTGGAAGGATGAGAAGGATAAGTTAACAGTCGGCTGTTGTCGAGGCCAAACTGTATCCTCTGTTCAAGGACAGACCAGGGTTGAGAGGCGAGGCTGGCACACTGTGTGCTCATTAGTCCTTCCAGCTGATGGGTTGAGACAGCCCAGTGTTAAAAGATCATCATTGCATATAATCACCTCTGAAGGACTATCCTTCAATATGGCTTTTATATCCTACTTAACACATTTCTTTTCTTTAGCATTTATACCGTGCTAAATCACATAACCTTCCCTGCTTCTCGCACAGCCTGACCACTTGCATCACTCCATTCTGTGTCACGGTTGCATCCACGATGGTTACGCTGTTACTATGTGTGTATCACTTGCTTTCAGCTTGATCTTCCACCCACTTGTCAATTGCTCAATCCTGAAACAGCTGCAACATAGGGGACAAATACTCTAGTCTATCCTATTGCCATGGATTTGTTTATTATTCCATTAGCTCCAGAGTACGGTAATTTCTAGGGGAGGCCAATTGCTTTATCGGCATAGCCATGATTTTTGTTCTTCTGCTAAATAAATCACTAATAGCCATCAGTCCTAAATTCAGGGCTCTTGTAGTTGCACCAGGCTTGGTGCTGTCAACATCTGTCACTGTGACAAGGCAGCAGGGTGTAAAAAGTGTTTTGAATAATACTGCATTAACATTCAGGGACCAAACCCCAAACAGTACAGCGAGTGAATTCAAGTTTGCCATATGTTGTAGCTTGAAATGGAATACACTGTTCCACATAGTTTGCAGAGAGCTACATGTGCCTCTGACGGATTCATGACTGAGGAGGGACTTTGGTCTCTGTGCTCAGCACATGAATCACCAGCTTTCACAGGCACACGGGAAACTAGTATCTCATGGTTTCAACAGGATTAATGCAGTAACATCTTCAAAGTGAGGTAAAATCCAGTGAAATGTACAGCTGAAATTAGAAGCTCTGTTTGTATTCTTTATTTGCTCCTGCAGAGCCAAGGATGATACTGGTCCAGAGGGCCCCCAGGTGCAAGAATGGAGTGTCAAGAGAGGCTGCAAGTCCTGGCTATTGACAAAATATGTGTGGGTCCTGGGCTGGTGGTGTTTACACAGAACTGAGATGTTTACACCCCTTTCCTCACTAATTCTAGGAAGTGTTTAAGCATACAAATGCCCGAAGCCCTCCAAGTTTTGTAAATGCACATGCAGGCAGTGGCAGGCTGAGCTCTGCGTGAGGCCGGGCCGTGCTAACCTTTGTGGGATTTCTTGCAGTGTTCAGACTGGGCAACACGGTGCATGCCTTGGTGGCAGCCAGGAAAGCTGCAGAGCTGCCAGACGTGGTTACTCGCCTGTGCCTGATGGCCTCGCACCTGAGCCGGGCCCTGTACCTCATGTGTGACACCGTGCTGTGGCTGAGGAGCGTCGGGCTCCAGCCACACATCGACAAATCCAAGTGGCACAACTGGGCTACCAAGTGCTACTACTGCTCACTCCTGATGAATCTGGCCAGGGACTGGTATGAGATCTCCTGGAGGCTGGAACAAGCTGCACTGGAAGAGAAGACAAAGGAGGATTCCTCCTGGCAGAAACACAGTGAGGAACTAGGTGGTGTGAAAAGTGATGGTTTGCACAATTTTCTCCACCAGCTCTTCCAGATACTGAAAAGGAATCCTCCTGTGCTGCTGGACTTGGTGAAGAACCTCTGTGATCTCTCAGGCCCTTTGGATACACTGGGAATCTACAAGAGCAGCCCAGGAGTGATTGGCTTCTGCGGCCTCCTCTCCTCCCTGGTGGGCATCCTCACATTAGCAAGCCCACATCTGAAGCTGAAACAGTGAGCTGCATAAAAGGAGATGCATAGTATTTGAGCTTTGATCCTCTGATAGATTTTTATCTTCATATGGCACTTTCGAATGAACATTTCTTAAAATAACCTCAAGATTAATTTTGTCCCTTGAATAAGTGCATTCTGCCCTTTTTCCTTCCCTGTGCCTTTGCAGATGAGTTTGGTGCCCTAACACGCTCCCTGATGGAATGGAAAGATGAAAAGGCCAAATAATATTTCACAAACAAAAAGAGGACTTGGAACTTGGCTGCTAGATAAGAAAATATTCCTTTATTTTAATACAGGGTTGTGAAATAGCTGCATAGGCAAATGCAATAGGTATATGACTTATTACTACACTAATCATGTTTACACTGGAAAGTTTTAATTCACTAATCCAAGGTCCCTACAGTCAGATTGTCTAGAGTGGGCTAAGGCAGGTTAGAAGCTGCAGTTAGAGTGGCCTGAAGTCAGGGATGAGTGTTGTTAAGGGTTTGGGTTGACAGATCCTCTGTCCTGCAGGCACTGAGTGCACTGTGATGGTACCTGGAAATGGTGTCTGTGGTGTGTGCACTGGGGATGCTGGAGCTGCAGCCTAGGGAGTGCCAACTCCTGTCCCAAGAAATCTGCACTTTCTTTGTTTCCTTTGATACTGTGAGCCAAGGACTGTTGGCCAGTGACTCTGACTGCTCCAGCAGGCCACAGCTGAGGGCTTTGGTGCACGACAGCACATTAACTCCCAAACCCCTGTAATTGCAAGTACAATTATTTTCCATTAATGATATTGTGATAAGGAGCTTGTTTTTTCCTCTTTTAATTTTACATGAAAAATTCCAGATGGTTGGGGATAGAAGCATCATAAAGTCACCCCAGGACATTAATAAGGAGTTTGGAACATGTAGTTAAGGAGAGAAGCCTGGCTCAGAGCTCTTTGAGCCAGAAAAACTGCAAGGACGTCTTTCTAGTTGTGTAAGCTCCAGGAGGGAAGAGAATGGAATCGGTGATGATAACATCAGAACCTCGTGTCAGAAGAAAGCTTTTTACTGGATTTGGGCATTCATGGTGTAGACTTTCCTATCTGGTGCTCCCTTATCCTCCCTGCTCATGAGCACACGATTGCTTGTGTGTTCCCTCTCTGGCTGAATGGGTTCAACCATTTGAAAATGCCTTGTGCTTGCCCTGCAATTGTTGTAGTTCATTACTGACCTCACTGGCAGTGTAAGTGGGTTAAAGGAGAAATGCTGTGTCCAGCTGTCTAGCATGGCATGCAGTTTTTGCTGCTCCTGACTTTGCAGAGTTGACACCATCTGAGAGAAAATTGCACATTATATAGAAGATAAATTTAACTTATTTCTTCTTCAGAGTTAGGCCTGTGTGTTCTGCTGCTTCCTGGTGTAAGAAGTCCTTGTTTAATCTGTCAAGGAGGTATGAACAGACTACTCTAACCTGGACCAAGGTGCTCTCTTATTATTTCTGATGCTATCTAAAAACAGAAAATTAGAAGACGTGTGTCTCCTTTATTAAAAGGCAAAGGATGTGGAATTAAATAGGCAGGTGAGGCAGTGTTCCAGTTTACCTGAAGTTGTGATTGGGCTTGGAATTACTTCCAGTTTGAATATGAAGTGATAGCCTGCCAATGAAGTGTTTGAAAATAAAGAGGTTGCTGGGCAGGATAATTGTGTTTGAAGACCAGATGTGACCTTCAGCAGCTCTTCTTTTTAATATGGAAATGAGTAGGACTTAAAGTAGAGCATACTGGCAGTTCAGGCCAAAATGGAGCATTGTGTGTGGAATATATATTATAGGCTATATTCTAGGCTTCCTCTCCTTTATGACCATGGATTTTTTGGAGGTTTTTCTCCATTTGTCTTTCATTTCCTGGCAATGTGGAATCCATCCCTACCTTGGTCAGAGTTATCCCAGTATGTAGCAGCCCCTTGAAGAAAGGAAGAGGAGCCTTGATCATCTGACAGTGGAGGTTTGAACAGCTTTTGTCTACAGAATTCCATCTTATTGCTAAAAATGTGTCTTCAGTTCTACTCAGGGGAGCTCTCAGATGCAAAATACTTCACAAAATACTTTCACTGGTTTGCCAACTGCTTTCCCTTTCTCTCTTACACTTTTCAGGGAGAGCAATTGTATCCCAGTCTCCACCTCCCTGTGCCCTGCAGGCAAACATTGTGGAAAGCCTTGAGCCAGGCTTTCACTTTTCTCCCATAGGGCCTGGTGTGGATTAGCATGCACAGCCTTATTGAGGGGAATGGGGCTGAGTTTTCAGCCTGTCTCAGCCCTACCTGTCCCATTCTCCATGATGTAGGCTGGAACACACAGGAGTTCCTCTGTTTACTGGATGTTAAGCACAAATATTTGCCTTCTGCTCCCCAGCTGGAGGCTGGTGATTTAAGGTACTTTAATATAATGTGACTGAAGCCATAGGATTGTGATCATATGGAGAAAATCCTTTTAGTGCCTTTTTTTGTATCTGTTTCTAATACAGCAGTTGGAGTAAGAACAAGGTGTTTGAACATAAGTAATAAATGTAATGAGTGTGACACTGTGTCTCTGTATAACTTGGAAGGTGGTGTAAAGACATGCTGAAGGATGCTGAAGGAGAGAGGATTCCATGTCTGAATTTTATGAAGGGTGACACTCTTAAAAAGACATTGCCTGTGGTTGGGTTCTAGAGCTTTCATTTTGCAGAAGCTAATTGGCAGCCAGATTCATCCAGCTAATTTAGAATCACAATTTCAGCTTCAAAAACATTAAGAAATACATAAGTATCAGGTGAAGCTGCATCCTTAGAATGCCCTGAAACAAGGTGGTGTTTTGGGAATTGCCATCAGCTGCCTTTGAGTACCAGCAGTGAGGGCTGGAGCCTTATGGCCAGTGTGGGCCCATCTGGGTGAAAGGGACAGGGGCACCTAGATTTCAGTGTCTTGTAAACAGCATTTCATTTGGGTGGTGATAGTTTAATGACAAATGGCATTAAATGCCAGTTCAGGGAGGCAACAAAGGGTAACATCTCAGGCAGAGGTGGCAAAGGATGGAGCCAGGGTAACCATTAAGCTGAGTTCGCTGTTAGCTCCTACCCCATGCAGTGAGAGTCCTGCAAAGCTTGGAAGCTCCAAAATGTCAGCTCCTGAACAATGTATAAAGCATGGCATTCAGGAATGATTTAGCAAGAGTTTCCTTCTGGATTAGTGGCCTCATACACATTTTGTAATGGAAACAGTAGGAGAGTGGTCATCTTCTCTTCTGCTTACAGACAAGGCCTTCCTAACATCAGCACTGTGCCTGGCATGACATTTGAAGGAGTATGTGAGCCATTGGGGATTCCCAGGTGAGCGTCAAGAGCAGTCAAAAGTTGAAAATCAACATCCCCAGGGAGATACCGAATAAACTGGTTCTGTAGAGGAAGTGTGACTGGGGGAGGGTGTGAGTAGTCTTCCAAGTGTCTAAAAGCTTTTCTGCCAAGAGCAAGGCAGTAAATCCATCTCTAAATCCAGGAGATAATACTTTTATTTGTCTCAAAGAATTAAATCACACCTTTTTTTTTTTAAACTAAAAGTAAAATAAAAATCTAAATAGATTGCCCAGGAGGGCAGTCCTTAAAAAGAAACTGGGCAGACATCTGTCAGTACTTGTTTTGGGGCTGCTGATCCTGCGCAGAAATGAATCAGATACCTCTCCAGCCCCTTCCCGGACCAAAGAGTAAAGGTGCCTTGCAGGGCTTTGGGGATCACTGTGGTTTGTTAATGACTACAGAGCAGACTGCAGAGACAGGGGTGTGAAACTGCTTCCCTGCACTCTGTGGATCTGGTGAGCTCTAAACATTGCCTGCAGGAGCACAGGAAGTGTTTCCTGGTGCCAGCTGGAGTGGTGGGGCAGGGAGGCTGTGGTGCCTTTGCCCTGCAGAGCCGGGGCTGGCACAGCCTTTGCCCCAGAGGAAGGGGAGGGGATGAGCACAGGCGATAGTAGGGCAAAGGCTGTGTTGGCTCCTGACTCCAGCCAAGGCAGAGAGAAGGTTGCTGTGCCCTCTGCACTTTTAGCCAGGTCAATGGGGCTGGAAAAAGTCTCCGTGCCAAGAGAACAAACTTTCAAGCAGGCTGGTGCCCTTTGTCCCTCTGTCTCAAGGGCAGTGACTGACCCCAGCACCAGCTGGAGGCAGCCCAGCACATTCATGTGGCTCTGTACCCAGCCAGCAAGGCAGGCACAGCCCTGGGCTGGGAGCAGACTCTGGGCTCTTTGGGAAGGAAAGGGGGTATTTTCCTTGCATCTGTGGCTCTCCCATGCCCCAGGGAAGCCTCCCACCCCCATGTTTGAGCAGTGCAGCCACAAGCAGAGAGCTGTGGAGCCGTGTTGGGTGCTCACCTCCATGTCCTGAATGGGATTACTGGGCAGCTGTGGGCATTGTGAGCCACGTGCCCCACCAGCTGATCCAGGACACACAGCAGCCCCGGACCACTCATCTGCACTGACCTCCCTGATTATTGCCTTGTCCTCTGGCATTTGTCCTCTTTCCACCACGTTGTCCCCATCTCATCAGTGTGGCTCATCTGTAGTCAATAACCAAGACCTGGCATAGCCCCATACAGGTGGTGTGGTCTTCTTTTCAACCAGTGCCACAAATGGATTTGTTAATGATGGTGTGAGTCCTCAGTGTGCCTCCTGTGCATCAAGGCCATGGAAGAGCAACATTTTAGTGAGAGCATTGCTGGCTGGTCAAGGAGGGCAGTTGTTCCTCTACAAAGCATTTGGGGATGTCTTGTTTTGGTCCCACCATCACAGGGGACATCCTGAATAGTCTGTCAGAAGATCACTGAGAGGGTAAGGCATTCAGGGCCATGGAACATAGGCTGCACCAGCACCAGCTGGGGCACAAACTCTGCTCAGAGGTGCACAAATCAAGGATAGGAGATGTTAGGTACAACAAAGAAAAATTCAACTGGAAAAAATAGTTTAACCATTAGTATGGCTAGCACAAGAACTGGGCCCCAGAGAGAGGGGAATCTTCTCCCCTCAAGTTTTTTTTTTTTGCTTCTCCCTAGAGCAGGGTAGCCCTGCCTTGAACAAGAGTTGAATGAGGTGATCTTCAGAGATCACTTCCAAACTGATCTTTTTCTCCATCTACCTCAGATGCCAAAAGCTTTCCTAATGTAGTGTGTGCCCTGACCCTCAGCTAAAGCCTCCTCACCAAAAGCTGCATAAATCATCTTAGAAATTGCAGACCGGGCCAAACTAGATGGTTTCAAGCAGAATATGTCCTCCCCTATCTGCCTTCTGCTCCTTGTGCTTAGTAAACTCTGCTGGGGAGAAACCATGTTCTTGGTATGCATTAGGTTTCCCAGCAGGATAGTACCCTGGTCCATCATGAGGCATAACAGGGCTTACAGAAATACAGGAAGTTTTTAATCTCTTAGGAAACCCTGCCTGACTCTTCACCTTCTCCCTGTCTGCTCATGATCTGTTGCTTTCGAGGTGGTGATGTCCCAGGGCAGCTTCTCATCTTCTGTGGAAGGAGTGGTGTTAAACCCCAGAACATTTCAGCTGTGCTGCAGCCTCTGGGCTCCTCAGGGAAGGCGGCAAAGGGGATTTTCTGGCGCCATCTGTTCCAAATGACGGTGGTTTCAGGGAGCTCCTTGGCCCATTTCCACCACAATTCGTCAGCTCCCGAGCCCACGCAACTGGGAGGTGGGGCCTCGTGGTGGTGGTAATGGCCAGAGCACAGTGCATCACCCCCACAGGACCAGGGTGAAGGGACAGTGCAGACACCACTCTCTGCTCCTGCTCTGCTGGGGACAGGCTGGCCCTTGGTGAGTAGCCTGCACCCACTGGGTGCTCTGGGACAGCTTCAGTGGGACCAGGGAGTGAGAGCAGGGATCACCCATTCCTCCAGATTTCCAGAATTTCATCTGCTGCTAGGAAAAAGGGGTCTGTGCTGGGGCTGGAGCATCACAAGGATGAGTGTTTGCATTATGAGCAGCAGATGTGTGTGAGCGGGATGCTGACCTCACCTGGACATCTCACTACATCCCTACCCACTGCTCTTCTATCTGCTCCTGTCCTACCTTCTTGCCCCTTCTCAGCCAGAGTCTATTCTCTTGCATATCTGTTAGCATCCTGGTTGTTCTGAGTTTGCTTTGCCAGCATACTGCCCTGACCATAACTTCTCTAAACTAGATGCCTCTCAACTAATTTTTTTGTATCTTTGGGTGTTAGGAACACGAGCCGGGCAGGGCTGCATGGAGGCTTTGGTTTTACAGTTTAACTGGTAAAAAGTCAAGTATTGGGCAATGCCACATCCATTGCACCCATGGGAGGTGTGTGTCAGCCCAGCTGCTGTGCTTGGGGGGTGCAGAAGTGAGGGGGGAGCCCAAGTCCAGCCCTGCTTTCAGGCAGAGTCTGCTGTTCCCAACTTTGCTTTGCAGGTGGATGTGCCACAATGACGGTGAAGAAGACTCAGGCTCTGCAGGATGGAAGTGCCAAGGTGGGTGCAGGGAAAGGGAGAGAAAAAAGGGTAGAGATGTGCCAAGGGGGCCAGGTAGTGTGTATTGACTGTGCTGGATAAATACCAGCCACACCTCACACTGTCCCACACATTCCCATGTTCTCTTTATAGGGATCTTTACGGGCAGTATTATGAAGCATCATCAAAGGGAAAGGATAAACCTTTTTGCCTGCTTGAAATTAAATAGTTCAGATTCGAAAAAGTTAACCTCGAGCTGATTCAAGCACTAAGTGATAGCTGCTGACTATGCTTGTCCTTCATCTGTGCCCCATTTAGTCCCCTGACATCCAGCAGTTATGGAGGTTCCACAGGGTGGGAAGCCAGAGGGAGCACCTAAACATTTGGGCTGGGGACACTGGAGTAGTGGGGACCATCCTGCTCAGACACTGCCTGCAGTGCCCCTGCTCCCTCACTGGCAGCTGCCTGCTTGTCCTTACTCAGCATACCTGGGAGACCCTCAGTGGGGCCCGAGAAATGGCCCCCTCCTCTTCCTGTGCAAGCTGAGGTCCTCTGGTCACTGTAACCCACCAAGTGCCACCGGTGTGTGGGCAGTGGGGCATTCCTCAGGGAAGGGCTGTTGGCTCACCCGTGTCCATCTGCCATGTGCAGGAGAACGTGCTGCAGAGGGTCCTGCAGCTGCCCGTGGTGAGCTCGACCTGCGAGACCCTGCAGCGGAAGTACAGCAGCACCAAGGAGTCCCACCCGCTGATGGCCTCGGTGTGTGAGGTGTACGAGCGGGGCGTGCAGGGCGCCGGCGCCCTGGCCATGTGGGGCATGGAGCCCGTGGTGCGCCGGCTGGAGCCGCAGTGTGAGTCCGTGTGCAGGGGGGACGTGGCAGGGGAGCCCACCGGAGCCTCCCCTGGTGGGACAGCGCTGGCACGAGCATGTGCCTGGCACAGCCCAGGTGCTTTTCTTACCATGCTTTTGCCTAAAGCAGTCGCTGTGGCCAACAACCTGGCTTGCCGGGGCCTGGACCACCTGGAGGAGAAGATCCCTGCCCTCCAGTACCCTGTCGACAAGGTAAGTCACAGGCAGGACAGTCTGGGTCCCCCCAGCCCCTCTGAAGAGCCCACAGTACATCTCCTCTAGTCTTGTTTCTGGATGGGGAGAGGCTGCTGGCTGAGAAACAAGGCAGCATCTCCAAGTGAGGGCTCCTCCAAGGTCTTCTGCAGCCTAAACGATGGTTGGGGCTCCCAAATATAATTCAATAGTGTTCTGTGTTCCATCCCTGCCAGCTACCTCCAGCCCAGGTTGGAGAGAGCTGTTATGCCCCTTTTGGAGATGTTTACTGGCATGGACGTGGCTGGGGTCCTGCGGTCCCTGTGGCTGCCCCATGCCACCTCAAGCACACCAGTGGGGCTGTTCTCCATCTCTCTGCCCACAGCTCGCATCTGAACTGAAGGACACCATCTCCTGCCCCCTCCAAAGTGCCAAAAGCACCATTGGCAGCTCCATGGATAAGATCAAAGAGCTGGCAGCGGAGGGCTATGAGGCCACCAAGAGCACAGTGGAAACAACAGCTAAGTACACCAGGAAGAACTCAGTGACCCAGATGGCAGCTGCGGGGGTCGACACAGCCCTGGGAGGGCTGGAGAAGCTGATGGAATACCTGCTGCCAGAGGAGGATGAAGAAGCAGGTAGTCCTGATGCCCAAATCCCCTCTGTGGGAGTCTGGTGACAACTGGCTGGGTGGCTCCTCAGTTGTGGGGTGCATGGGGCAGAAGGCAGCCCCTAAATTTTGGCATAAGGCTGTCTAGGAGGGCTGTTCCACCAGAATGTAACCCTCCCACCATTCTTCAGCCTGTACTTTTCTACCTTTAGATAAGAAGCCCAAAAAGAAACATCTGTCAACACCGAAGGTCTCCCAGCGGCAGCCCAGCACTACCACCACTCCCAGCGCTCCCAGCGCTCCCAGCGCTCTCAGTGCTCCCAGGGCTCCCAGTGCTCCCAGGGCATCCAGTGCTCCCAACACTCCCAGCACTCCCAGTGCTCCCAGTGCTCCCAGTGCTCCCAGCACTCCCAGCACCCTGGGCCGGATTGGCGCTTTGGTCAGCACCGTGTCCAACCGCGCTTACCAGCAAACCACCCAAAGCCTCCAGCGTGCCAAAACCAAAGGGCAGGAGCTGGCCTCCTGGATCCCCATCCTGGTGAGTGCCAGCACCCACCTGCTGGGCTCCTGCTCCTCTGTATCCTCTTTTCAGCTGATTTTGCTTTCAGATGGGACATTTCAGGCTCCTTAGAGAAAATCTGAGCAGAGTACATTTCCCCCGCTCAGCAGGACAAGCTGGGGCTGGCAGTTCCTGCTTGATGTTCACACATAACCATGTACCACATTAGTGGGACAAGTTATTTTTAGCAGGCTCTCAGTGTGTAATTGTTGATTTATGGCCTTGCCATAACATCCTTCCTGAAGCAAAAAGCCCCTGCAGAGACCCAGAGAGGATGGGGAGAAGGATGTGCTTTTCCTACCCCATGCTGCAGTGGGAACATCTTCCCTGGCCTGTGACAAAATCCCAGAGCTCCCATCTGCCCTCAGGATTTCTCCCCAGATGCACAAATCCCTGCTCTCTGTGTACCCCTGTGAAATCCTCCGACTAAACAGGATGGAGTGGATGGGACCAGCCAGCTCTCCCTGAGTGGTGGCTTTTTGCTCCCCTTGCAGGGAAGCCTGGCCAAGCCGAGTGCCCCCGTGGCCCCTCAGGCCCGCAGTGATGGGCAGGGCAGCGCGGGTTGGCTGACCCGGCGCCCGAGCAAGGCACCGGAGCAGAAGAAGGAGAAGGCAGGGAAGAAAGACACCAACCACACCAAGGTATGGAGAAAAGCAGAGCAGTGAGCTAGGAATGCTCCAAAGCATCCTCCTACCCATGGACCAGGCAAGCATGGAGGCTATTCCCCAAAACCTTTGGGGACCAGGTCCCCAACCCTGCTCAACCCTGAACTGCAGTTTGGAGGATGCAAGAGGGGGTTGGCAGTGGGGCAGCCCCAGGAGTCCCCTTCCTATTCCCCAAAGCTGGGGGCTGTGGACAGCCTCTGTGCCAGGCACAGTCACCCTGGTTTGTATGTTCAAAACACCTTTGGAGCTGTGGGATGTCAGCACTGAACTCCCTACTGAGAGAACACCCCTGAAAAATCCCCTGCGCGGTCCCAGCAGTGAGGGGTGTTGCGAGCCGGTGGGGATGGGAACAGTCTCCAGCATCGGCTCCGCTGGGACCTGGGGACGGGAAGCAGCAGGTTGGGGTCAGTGCCCTTTGTCTCTGCCTGCAGCGGAAGCACAGCCTCGAGCAGAGGGTCCCCTGGGGCCTGGAGTGGGGGGAGTTGGCTGGGACAGGGAGAGACCCTGCTGCAAAGAGCTGTGGTGGCTTTTGCAGAGCAGCAAGATGAAATCTCTCAGGCTTTGAGCTGCAAAGGGGATGGGGAAACCAGGGCCACCATGCCCTGCCTGGAGGGGCTGGTGGGGCAGAGGCCCTGGCCAGGAGCTGAGCTGGTTTCTCTGGGCAGGCACGACAGGACCCTGGGCTGGTGGGCAGCATGGCTCACAACCTGCAAACCGCCTGCACCTCCAGCATCTCCAGCATGAAGAAGGTCCCAGCCGTGGCCTGGGATGCAGCAGAGGGCTTGATTCTCTTCACCCCCCGCAGGCTGTCCAGGGCCATGGAGACAGTGGATGCTCTCGGGGGGACCCTCGTCAGTGCCCCTAAGCATCTGCTGGGCACCCTGTACAGCTACGTGCCGGTGAGTTTGCCCCCAGCCAGGCCCTGCCCATCCCCAGCAAACCCCATTTTGCTCAATCTCCTCCCATGAGCACCCCATAGCTGCAGGCAGTGCCGGGGGTACCAGACTGGGGAGAGGGGGTGCCATGAAGACATCTCAGTCCCACCCTCCTCTTGAGCATCCCTGAAGCCATGACAGTGGGTCCCCCAATAGAACAGGTGGGTCAGACAGTGGTGACACCTTCACACAGTTCATGCTCAAGCCAAGGTGTGACCACATTCCCAGGAAGGTGAAAGTTCAGGCTGAGACCCTGTTCTCTCTCCTTTACCTCAGCCTGTTGTTCCCCTGGGAACATTTCTTCACCACAGCTGCTCAAGGGACCGCAAGCCACCCACTCCCCTCCACTCTGGGGGCAAACTGGCTTCTCCTGAGGTTCTCCCAGTTTAAGGGAGGTGCTGTGTGGCACAGGTGGAGCAGGGCTGGCAGGTGGGTACAACCTGGCTGGGTGCTCACCTCATCTCTCAGCTCCGCAGGCAGTCAGTGAAGGAAGAAGAAGCACCCAGGGGCAGCAAGACCGACACGGAGAAGAAAGAGAAGAAGGAGGAGGAGGAGGAGGAGACCAAGCCTGCTGTCCCCTCCACTGAGGAGAAATCCCAGCTGAGGAGCGACTGGCGGCTGTACCGTGGCCATCACCCCCTCTCCTTCCTGGGGCTCGAGGACCCCCTCTTCCTGCGGCACAACTACTACCGCAGCCCTGCCTTCGACCCCGACTACCCATTCCCACGGAAATCTGCCTTCTCCCCCTACAACAGGCGGGTGAGCGAGGGCTCCTACCGCTTCAGCCCCGAGTCCATGTACAGCCGGCCCTACTACGGCAACTTCTACAGTCCTGTCTTCAAGAAGGACTGAGCCAGCAGGCGGGACAAGCACATCCCAGCGCCTCTCAAAACCCCTCAGCACGCTTTGCCTGGGCCCCTGCCAGCTGCCCACACACACCCCTGTTCCAGGACAGGAGCTTAAAGGACAAGCCATGGGATAGCTTATTCTGGAGTGCATCAAGGCCAGGATGGGGGAATAAAGGCAACGAAAAGCCCTGCTGCTGGAAGGAGAAGGTAGGGGAAGGTGGGACTAGGAAGTTGAAGGAGACGTGGAAAGTGGTGATGCCAGAAGGGACCACCCAGGGCTGGCACTAGGCAGCCTTGGTCCCTGCTCAGCAGACAGAGTGAACTTAGATGGGCTGGCTACACATCGAGAACAGCAGTGAGAGAGAGCAGGGAGGATGGCAAAGCTGTCATATCACCATAGCAAGCCTGTCTCCCCATCCTTCCTCCCTCCATCCCCCCTTGCAGGGCCCATCCCTAGGCACAGATTGCTCCTCCATGGAGGGACTGAAGATCCCCACCAACCAGCAGGATTCATGAGTGGGAAAGCCCTGGGCACTTCCCTCCCAGCTGGTGGTGGGATGGATGGTGGCGTCAGAAAAAAGTCTGGTGAGAACAGGTGGAGCTCCTGGAGCCCCTCTCCCACAGGATCACCTGGCTTCCCACAACACCTTGTTGTATCTGCTGCAATAATAAACCTGCAATAATAAACCACCTGCCACTCACCCCATCTGCTCGGCTTCTTTGTGGGAGTGAGACACCAAACCAAGGGAACAGAGTGGGGTGAAACCCTCAGCTCAGGGCCAAGGGAGTGGGCGTGGAAAACATCCTGCTACATTCCCCATGGGTAGCTGCCACTGGGATAGTGGCATGCCCAGCATGGTACGTGTCTCTTCCCATGCCCCAAGTACAAATTCACAGCTCCAAGGAGCCGGGGCTTCCTGCCAAAGACAATTTATTGCATTTCCAGAAGAACACAGCAGAGAAATCAGTGTCCCTACAGCACGCACAAACTCTCTTCCAATACACTCCTTTCCCAGGGCACAAAGAGAAGGGTTTGGGAGAGGCAGGGAAAAGCCTCCCAGCAGCAGAAGGGTTCAGCAATGAGCCCAGCGACCCCTTTCCCCAGCCCCACTCCTCCCCGGGGACAGGCAGCCTTACAGAAGGAGTGGCTTGGGAAGGTTGGCGGTGCAATTCCCATCCTGGGAACGAGCCCCGCGTCTGGCTTTTCCCAGGCACAGCCTGTACAGCACTCACCCGCACAAGGGAAAGGGCTGTGATCGCTGAAAGGCTGCGGGGGAGAGGGCCGTGAGCAGGACTGTTCACAAGCAGAGGGGATGGGAGGCGCCGGCTCTCACCAAAGTCCTGCAGGATGGTCCTGGGCTCTGGGACACTCTCACACGGTGATACACACGTGGGAACTGCCAGCGCCTCCACAGTGGAGAAAACCTCATCTCCCCAGTTCACGGGTGCTCCAGGGTTACTGAAGAGGATCCTGATGAGGGTTGAACAGGAGTAGGGATCCCAGAGAAGGAATGGAGAGTCAGGGAGTCATGTGCTGTACAAGAGCAGGATATCCTCCCTAATGGCTGACAGCCTGGGCAGCTCCTGCTGCAGGAGCTAGAGATGCTGCTGCCTGGGGCTTTGGCAAAATTCCCCCGTGGTTTCCAGTGTTGGAGGATAGAAGGAGAAAGCAGGAGGCACCTTAAGAGCTGGTACAGCAAAGAGATGAGACTGCCCCACTGCAGAGCCAAGAGTAACACACTACAGTGCTTGGCTGCCCTGGCTGTGCATGGCAGGACACCCAGAACCTGACACTGGGAGGACAGCGAGGAACAACCCGTCATACTTCTGGAAAAACACGCACCATCTCCATGGGCACCCAGCGAGGAGGCTTGGCCCAGCTGGGCAGCACAGAGAGCAGCAGCATCCGTGCAGTGGCTCACAGGGAGTCTGTTCGCTTACGGGCAAACACAGCTGACATGGTTTTGACGATGCCACGGATCCCTGTACCTTTCTTCAGGGCCAGCTTGGTGTCTGGGATGAGCTTGGCCAGTCCATGGAAGACCATGAGGGCGCCGTGATAAGCCTCAGCTGCAGAGACCTCATAGAAACCACAGTCTAAAGAGAGGGCCAGGAGCCGCCCCTCCTCGCTGGACACCACCCGCTGGTGGTGCAGGTCCCGTTTGTTGCCCACAATGACAATGGGCACCTTCTCCTGGCTCTGCCCCTCCTTGGCTGCCTTGATGAACTGGATTTTGAGGGGCAGGATGTTGAAGCTGGCACGGTCACAGATACTGTAGACCAGGACAAAGCTGTCTGCCCACTGGACTCGCTTCTCCTCTGAGGAGCCATCCTCTGCCTGCTCCTAGGGAAAGAGAAGAGGAAGGGTTGTTTCATCGGACTCCCTCCCTCCCTCCACACCTGCCTGCTAGAAGAGTGCAATCCTGAGCCTGTTGGGACAGGGACAGCTAGAGAACAGCAAAAGGGCAGAGAGAAAGAGCAGTACCGTGAAGGGCAGAGCAGCACCTGGCAAAACTAACCAAGGGGGAATGATTCAGCTTTCAGCCTAATCCTAACCCTCACCCAGCTGCCAAGCACTGCAGGCTGTAGGTGGTAACAGTGTGGGGACCTCAGGGCAGCACTTCTTTAGCACAGTCCTGTATTAGCAGCAGTGCTTCAGCTCCAGTATTCTCAGCCAGACAGCCATGGGCTATGGTAACTATTTCCACCCTGTCAGCAACACTGCTGTCCTGTGCTTGGCAGGTGAGAAGAGTTCAGTCACTTATGAGGTTCATAAGGCCTTGCTCAACTGGCCCTCCCAACCTGTGGTTCCCCATAGGTAACTTCCAGTAAAGGGTTTCTTTTGTCCTGGGTAGAAAAGGGTGATAGAAGCGGAGCCCTCTCACCTGGGAATTGGGGACATCCCAGATGTGTAAGAGAATCTCTCGGCCATCCACAGTCAGGTTGTGGCTGTAGATGAATTCTGCCCCCCAAAAAAAGAAAAAAAATTAGTCATCTTCATGGTGTCACCAACTGCCACCCTGGACCTTTCACATCCCAGAGAAGCAGTTCTGGAGCAAAGAGATGGTCACTGAACAAATACAACATTGAGCCCCTGGGAGCAGGCAAAGGCTTTGGAGAAAGGCAGGAGAGGATGGGCTGCAATGAAATTCCACAGGCAGAAGCAGGGTTGTCTCTCAACCCCACTCCCTGCTGGGAACTGGCCGGGCACTCACCCATGTCTCCATACTCGCCAATAAAGCGCCGGGTCAGGAAACGCACGGTTAGAGCTGCAGAGGGAAGGATAGGAATCATCAGAATAACCCAAAACCTGGAGGATTCTCCTTTCTAAATCCAGAGCAGAGTCAGGCACCATTCCCTTATAAACTCCTACAAACAGGGATGACCTCTGAGTTTCCCCAGCCGCCCGCAGGTCTGTGAGTACAGCAGAGGCAAGGCACGAACCAAAGCATCTACACGATCCGGAGCATCAGCAAACTGCAGCTCAGTGGAAAATAACCCTCCCTTGTCACTCCCCGGATGGTTACAAGGTTGTGCTCAGCTTTACAGCTGCACCCTAGGGCTCAGCCCCATCTCACCCATTTGCTCCATGGGCTGCTCCCTGCCACTGCTCCTCCAAGCACTGCTGCTTTCAGCCTGGGAAGCCCCTGCTCCAGTTCACGGTCAGTTCTCACCTGATTTCCCTACGTTGTCTGCTCCCATGACAAGGACGTTTGCTTCCATCTTCAGGGCAGTGGGGCCGGGCACCTCCATGAGGGCAGGGTGGTCGGGGGTGAAGCTGGTGCTCCGGCGCAGCGGGAGCCGGAGCCCCATGCCGAGCGTGGCCGAGCTCCGGCAGTGCCAGCCGCGCGTACAACTCCGCTCGGCACGGCCGGCAGCCCAGCGCTTCCCACGGCACCCAGGGGACCCACGAGGCCCATACCCCTCCCCGCAGCCGCAGGGGCGGTGCAGAGGGAACTGCAGGCAGCCGGATGAAAAACTTTGTCATCGCTCAGATTGTCCTGAACATACGTCAGTGGCTGAGCCGGCCCTGCCAGCCCCCAGCGCGGCGGGCGGCCGGGAAGCACCAGCTGTCGGCACCAGCTGCTCCGCAAACTGCAGCATCCCAGGAGGTGCCCAGGCCTCCACCTCGAGCACTTTGTGCCTCGGCAGGGCCACGTAGCCCCTCTTCCCCTCCCCACGGTGATCGCGGGAATGTCTGCCAGGAGTGGAGGAGTGTCAGCTGCTGGGATGTCTCGTCAGTGATGAAGCAGCTGATGAGAGATGCGAGTCCCTTGTGACTGACGGAGCATCTCATGGGTGGTGGAACTTTGTTTCACCAGAGATGGAACACCCCGCGATTAACGGAGCGCTGCCTCGCACGTCACGAAGCATCTCACGAGGGATGGAGTCACTTGTGAGTGATGAAGCATCCCAAGAGTGATGGAGCATCTCCCGAGTGATGGAGCTTCTCTGGAGCACCGGGGAGCCGCCGCGCAAGTCCCACACGGGGCACGGGCGTGCCCCGCTCCCCCGGCTGCTCTCCCCGGGGTGCAGCGAGGACCGGCCGCATCCCCCGGCCCGCCTCATCCTCCCTCCCTCCCTGGCCTCATCCTCCCTCCCTCCCTCCCTCTCTCTCCCCCTCCCTCTCGGCTGACGCCATCGCGGCGCGCCGGGCGCGGCCATGGCGGCGGAGGCGGCGGCGGTGCGGGTGGCGGTGCGGGTGCGGCCGCTGCTGCCCCGGGAGGCGCTGCGGGGACACCGGCCCTGCCTGCGGGGCGATGCCGCCACCGGAGAGGTGGCGCTGGGCCGCCGCCGGTTCCGCTTCGCCGCCGTGCTGCCCGAGGCGGCGGGGCAGGCGGCCGTGTACCGGGCCTGCGTCCAGCCGCTGCTGCGCGCCTTCTTCCGCGGCTTCAACGCCACGGTCTTCGCCTACGGACAGACCGGATCCGGCAAGACCTACACCATCGGGGAGGCCAGCGTCGGTGAGTCTCACCGGCACCGGCGGCTCCGTGCCCGCCAGCATCCCTGCTCCGCCAGCATCCCTGCTCCACCAGCATCCCTGCTCTGCCAGCATCCCTGCTCCACCAGCATCCCTGCTCCACCAGCATCCCTGCTCTGACAGCATCCCTGCTCTGACAGCATCCCTGCTCCACCAGCATCCCTGCTCCACCAGCATCCCTGCTCTGACAGCATCCCTGCCCCACCAGCATCCCTGTCCTGCCAATGCCCCTGTCCTGCCAACATCCCTGCTCTGACAGCATCCCTGTCCCACCAGCATCCCTGTCCTGCCAATGCCCCTGTCCTGCCAACATCCCTGCTCTGACAGCATCCCCACCACCCCCCTGCTCACCCCACCAGCCCCACATCACCACCTCCTTCCTCCTACATCTCTTTCCGTCCCCAGCCAAGCCACCTACACCACTGTCCCAGCCATCTCTCCCAACCCACCAACTCACTGGTGCTGCAGTCCACACCAATTTCAGCACCTTTGCACTCTCTACCCAAACTCAAACTGTATCATCATCTCCATCATTTCCAGTTTTGCTCCCAAACAACCCTTCCACCCTGCCAGCCCCTCCAGCTCAAGCCAACCTCCCCCTGCCATCCTGCCCCCCAGCAGCCTTTCCTTTCCCCCTGCCTGTGTTGCACCCCCCATGGACAACTTTGAGATCACAGATCCTCTTCCACTGCAGGACAAGTGACAGGATCTAGTCTTCCACCAGCTCTGGAGGTGGTGTTGATAGTCCTGAAATAAACCTGAAGGAGAGGGAGGCTTGCAATTGTTTATCCTATTAGTTTTTTTTTGTATGAAGGAAATGAGAAAAGAGACAATTTTTTTCATTCTAGTTTAATGGCATTGTGATTTCTTACAGATGATGTACTGTAAACATTTCAGTCATCTTTAGTTAATTGCATCATTTGTAAACACTATATTTTAATCTATGCCTGTTTTCAGTCTCCCAGTTCAGGCTATCATTGCACCAAATTTTGGAATTGCCATTTTACATGGCTGTTGAAGACAAAAGGAAAAACATTTAAAATTCAGTTGAGTGCTGTGGCCAGGTACAAGCAAGCTGGAAGCACTGAAAAAAGAGAAAAGCTTCTCTGAGCTGGGAAAAGTTGTGGAGTCATGCTGGCTTCAAAGGATAGCACACTGTAACTGCAGGCATGGTATTTGATACTCACTAAAATGCTGAAGGTGCTTTTTCCTTCTTGAGGAAGGACTGGAAACATGCAGCTTTGCTGGAATCCAGCACAGCAGTGGGACAGGATTTGCCCAGAGGTCTTGTGGGATGTTTAACCCAGGCTGTGAGGGCTGAGCTCCCCAGCTGGGAGAGTTGTGAGGCTGCTCCTTTCCAGCTGACATGTGTTGCAGGCAGGCTTCTGACCTCAGCTCTGTCCCCAGCCAGCGTGGGCTCCCTGGACGTGCCCTGCTCCCCATGAGCATGTGCCTCTCTTTGCCAGCTTCCATCAATGAAGATGAGCAGGGCATCATCCCACGAGCCATGGCTGAGACCTTCAGGCTCATCGATGAGAATGACCTGATCGACTACACGGTCCGAGTGTCCTATCTGGAAGTGTACAAGGAGGAGTTTCGGGACTTGCTGCAGGTGGATACAGCCAGCAAAGACATCCAGATCCGGGAGGATGACAAGGGGAATGTTGGTATGTGTGGCCGTGCACAGGCTCCTTTTCTCCCCATGCTGTAGGCCAGAGCTGGCTTATCTATCCATGAAGGCAGAGCCAGGTCTTCCCCCTCCATCAGTTTGTCTCCTGCAGCAGTTTGCTGTGCTTAATTTTGAAAGGTGGTCTGGGCAAGGCCCAGTACAGGCAGGGTGAGAGCACCAGGCTGTGCAGAGGAGCTGCATCCTCAGGCAGCCCGTCCCTTCCAGCCACAGCTGCCTTTGCTTTGCAGTGCTCTGCGGTGTGAAGGAGTCAGAAGTGGAAGGGCTGGACGAGGTGCTGAGCCTGCTGGAGATGGGGAACACAGCCAAGCACACAGGAGCCACCCACATCAACAGGCAGTCGAGCCGCTCCCACACCATCTTCACAGTGACCATGGAGCAGCGGCGTGGGGCTGGCCGGCTGCCCCTCCACCACCGCCCCCCTGCCGTGCCCGCCGCCGGACAGGTCCTGGTGTCCAAGTTTCATTTTGTGGACCTGGCGGGCTCAGAGCGAATTGTGAAGACGGGAAACACAGGGGAGAGGCTGAAGGAGAGTATCCAGATCAACTGTGGCCTCCTGGCCTTGGGAAACGTCATCAGTGCCTTGGGAGATCCTCGGAGAAAGACCACCCACATCCCGTACAGAGACTCCAAAATCACCAGGTACCCCTGGGACCGGGACCCCTCACGTCTCACGGGCTCAGTTTGCAGGTCTGCCCTCTCTGTGGGTTTTCAGGAGCAGTGAGGCCCAGATAGAAATGCAGGCCTAGCTCATTGCAGTGCTGGAGACAATGAGGCTTGCGAGAGTCGTGCTGCTGAAGCTGAGATGGGGGGTTGCTGTGGGTTATCCTCTTTCCTGCACGGCAGGGAATAAAAAAGTACTCCCAGTAGACTTGTTTAATGGACCACAGTTAGTTCTTAGCTTGAGCTGGTGGCCTTTGCAACCTCCAGAAGGATCCCTGGCAGCACATACCTAGCAGTGATCCCGGAGTCAGGGAGCTCCCAACCTCAGGAGTTATTTGGATGGAGTTTTGCTGTGGCACAAACTGTTAATCCTCTGGTTAATGACTCCATTCACCTCACTAGTGCCAAACCAACTACAGAGCAAGGACATCAATTTCTTTGGGCTTAACCTATGAAAAGGGTTGAAAACTTTCTGTTTTCTGTGTTATTTTGTATTCCCGCTGTTCTAATCCCTGTGCTCTTCCTTAGGATCCTGAAAGACTCTCTTGGGGGGAATGCCCAGACCGTGATGATAGCCTGTGTCAGCCCATCATCCTCTGACTTCGACGAGAGCCTCAACACGCTGAATTACGCCAGCCGGGCTCAGAACATCCAGAACAAGGCGGTGGTGAACTGCCGCAAGGAGACGGAGCACATCGAGGAGCTGCACCTGCAGATAAAGAACCTGCAGAAGGCGCTGGAGCAGCGGCAGCGCTCCGAGACCCGCACCATCCACCGCTCGGCCAGCGCCAAGCGCCAGGCGCCGGACGCCACGGCCCGGCTGCTGGCCGAGTGCGCCCATTACCGCACCTGCACCGACGCCGCGTACCGGCTGCTCATGGAGCTCCAGGAGGACGGCAGCCTGAGCGTGCAGCAGATCCTGCGCGTTAAGGAGTGGCTGTGCGCCGTGGAGAGCGAGAGGAGCGAGCTGACCTCAGCCGGGCTGGACAGCGGCATTGAGAGCGCCTCCATGGAAGACCAGGGACCGGAGGCACAAGGTTCAAAGCTGGCAAAAGCCCAGGTAATAGTGGGGTGTTACAGCTCTGAGGTTGGGTTCGTCTCATGGCCACAGCAACCCCAGCACAGCATGATGGAAGGGTCAGGAGAGGGAGGGGAGGAGACATAATCTGTCCAGGAGGCCCTAGAGAGGCAGAAGGACATGGTCCTCCCAGCAGGCAGGGAGGAATTAGATTCAGCTGCAGTTGACAGATTTATTGCACGAGAAGAATCTGGGTCTGCAGAGCTGTTGTGTCCTTGCAGAGTCCAGCATGGGAAGGGAAGGACAAGGGTGGATGCTGATGCTGCCTCTCTTTTATTTTGGAGAGCAGGTGAGCACTGAGAAGAAGTGTGAGTCCATCAAAGATGAGCAGGTGGCCAAGCTGCAGAGGCAAGTAGAACGGCTGGAGGAGGAGAACCGTGATTTCTTGGCTGCCCTGGAGGATGCTATGGAACAGTATA